GCAGCAAATCACACTGCCACGTGTGTTCCTATGCAACAATTTTGCATGTTCTTCACATGTACCCCAAAACCTAAAATGCAATAAAATAAATGGGAAAGAAAAAGAAAAAAAAAAAGAATACAAACTGAAATGTGGTATAACTAGTATTTACATTGCAATTGGTATTATAAGTACTCTAGAGATTATTTAAAGTATGCAGGAAAATGTACATAGGTTACATGCAAATACTATTCCATTTTATATAAGAGATTTGAACATGTGTTGGTTTTTAGTATCTGCTGGGGTCCTCAAACCAACTCCCCAAGAATACCAAGGGATGACTGTACTTTCAATTACAGGTTTTGGAACTAGCCAAATGTAAAAAATGCATAGGACCAGGTCTGGGAAGGCACCAAATGAGAAGCTTCCATGTCCTCAAGACACATCACCCTCATAGTACATCCATGTAAATTACCTATCAATTACCAGTCAGGGAGACTTTTCCTGAGCCTCAGTGTTCAGGCTTTTTACTGGGGTTTAATTACATAGGCATAATTGATTGAATCATTGGCCATATTGTTTAACTCAATCTCCAGCCTGTCTCTGATTTCTAAAGATCAGGCTGATATCACCCGACTTAAATCTTAACCATCTAATCACATGATTGGTCTTTCTGGCATAGACATCCCCACCCTGATTTATTTCCTTAAGCCTAAATTTAGGCATGTCCCAGGGACCCACCATGAGTAACTAAGACACTCCCATCATTCAGAACAATCCAAGGATTTAGAGGTCACCTCCCAGAAACCAGGGACAAATCTAGCCAAATTATTATATAACACTGTGTAACTATAATGTGTACAATTTTAATTTTGCAGCTTTTCTGTAAATTTTCCAAATATTATTTATAAAATGAAAAATATCTAAGTAGAAATTACCAAAATAAATAACAATTCAAAAGGTTTTGAGGTATAAGTCAACCTGACATCAGCTGTGCTCCTATACATGTGCAACTGTCAGAAAAGATAATATTGGAAGAATCCCCTTTCTAATACCAACAGATAAAGTATTTATGAATAAAGTATAAAACTTTTATTAATAAAAATAATTTTTATAAAACACTCAAGACCTAAATAACAAGTATATACTATGAACATGATATACTATGTTGTATTGTAAAGATATCAGTTCTCCAAATTATTCCGACAGGGCTGTTATTAATGTTCTAGCAGTTATTGTCAACTTTTAAAAGGGTGTATGTTTGTTTGCATGCGTAGAGAAGATGAATCTCTTAAATTTGTATAAAAGAGCAAAGAACTAAAAATAATCATGGAATTTCTTTAAAAGAAGAGTAAAATACAGGGATTGCCCTACCAGGTATCAGGATTTTGTATCAAGCAATGATAATTAACACAATGTGTAATTTAGTGTAGGGACAGATAGAGTAAATGTTAGTAATTATTTTATCAAGTAGGTGCTTTTGGCTGCAAACAATAGAAAAACTGTGACTCAAATGGCTTAAACAATAATTTAACAGGAAATCTAAAAGTAGAGCTATTTTCAGGGTTAATCCTGTGGCTTGGCAGAGACATCAAAGAAAAAGGTTTGTCCTATCCCTCTGTTCCACCGTCCTCAGTGTAGTGACTTTGACCCCATGATGAAGCCCATCACAGCCATGAGGTAGCTGCCACAGTTCTAGGCATCACATAGGCAGAAAGTGTAAAGGTCTTAGTTTCTTTCTCAGGGGTTAGGGAACCTTTCTAAAAGTCCCAAGACAGGACTGGGTCATTCCCTCAATTCCTAAACCAAATACACTTATTCTCCAAATACTGACAAGGAAATTGAGGTCTGTATAATTGTCGTAGACAAATCATTCTAGGTAGAATGGATATCGGGGTGACAACTCTCAAGACAAAAATGGTAATTCTACTTGATGGGGAAAAGTGATATTATTCTTTACACATTTTGATTTTTTTTCTCAAAATTAAAAAATAAATTTACCTCCAAATAAAACTAGATGTCCTACTTAATAAGCATCATATTCAATCTCTCTTTGAATAGATATGGAACCCATTGAGAAACCGACATTTGTTGACTGCCTGCTAAATGCCAGGTACTGAGCTAAGTACACCATCACATCTGTCCTTACAATACCCCTGTAAGTCTCATTTGCTGACTGATGAAACTAAGTCTGGAGAAGGAATGTGACTTGGGTGAAGTCACTTGTTGAATATGGGGTAAAGCTGGGGACTTTACTTTGATTTTTAGACAATTACCCCATACTTCCACCCAGACTTATGTTCCTTACCCTTTATTGTATCAGAAAAAAAAAATTGTCATTTAATGTATAGATTCATGTACCAAAAAGAGCTAAATGTTTTCTTCTCCACTAATCATATAAGAAAGAAAGATATTTAAATTTCAGAACTCTTAGGACCTACTCTCAACCATCAGACAGGTGTTGGAGTGGGCAGGTGGGTTGTTTCATTAGAAATATCTTAATCTGTCAAACCAGCTTAAAAGAATTTCCCAGGAAACACAGCAGGTCCAGCATTCGTATTGTGTCCACTCATGCAAATCAGATTTCACAAATTATATGTGGACACCTTGGCTTCCTTACAGGGTACATTCGGGATGTCAACACCCCAGGGTGACTTTAGGTTAGACAATTAAGGGAAAAGCAGCAATGTGGCAAGAAAAAACTTGAGAAGAAGAAGATGAACTTGGCCAACTGGATGGAAATGAATCAGCCCAGTGTTGTGGAGAGCTGCAGGGCCGGTGGTGCGGGCATGATGGATAGGCCCCTCCAAGGCTGCCTGTGATTGAAGCCCGATTGTCAAAAACAGACAGTAAACCAGGAGAGAAAAGAGAGAAGTTAGATGGTGCTGTCAACTTGCCACAGGATATGCAGCAAAGAGTATCGGACTTGCATGAAGAGTGAGGAGAAAAAAAAACAGGTGGGGGTGGTAAGAGGTAGTGGATGAGTTTTTAAAACAGCCTCCAAGGACACCTGGAAGAAACTCTTGGGCACCTGATATCATAATGATGATGATTTTGCAAACAAGTAGTCTCACTGTCTGCAGGATGTAAAGTTTCCTTTTGGTACCCGGGCTATAAGGCAGAGAGGACCCACCGGCTGTGGGTCTCCACCTCTGGCAAGCCTCAGGGACTCAAAGGGGATGCTCCAGGAGACAAGAAGCTCTCTCTTTATGAGCTGAACAGTGGATAGGCCCGAACCCTTGGCTTGTCCATGTTACTCCACTCAGGAAGGAGGGATGCTTTCTAACAACCCCAGGGTGTTGACATTCCAGGGCTGTTAGGAAGGCTTCGTTCTGTTCTGGAGCCACTACTGGTGACTCCTGAGAACCTCAGGGCAGCCGCTTTACTCATCTTAAAATCCAATGTGGAAGGGCAAGCCTGCTAGTCCCCAATAGACCAAGGGATCTGAAAAACCCAGAGGAAAACTAGCAAGTCTAGTATCATCACACTGTGCTCTACCAAGTCTTAGGGGTTCTATGAAAATATTTCAGGGACACAATTAGTTGGCAGAGAGCAGGCAGGACTCCAAACACAGCACTTTTCTTTTGCATGGGTTTCAAATTATAACTAACATTTATCAAGGACTTACAATATGCCAGATGCTATCTGAAACATTTTACATGTGTTCTCTCATTTTGTTCTAACAACTGAATGAGGTGATGCAGTATTACTTTTAATGCTAAAAATCGCAGTCACTTTTACACCAACCTAATAATAATCCTATCATACACACAAGAAAATACAGCACAGAGAGGTTAAGTAACTTGCCCAGAGTCATGCAGCTCCTAACTTATACCTGTGAGATTTAAACCCCGCTACATACACTGTATTATACCTACATCCTCTGTAATATTTCATCAAATGAAAGGGTTTTCTCCCTCACACACAGTAGAGGGCTTATCTAAGGTACCTTATTCACAGGCAGCAACCTCAGGACTGACAGCCTAGGGCTTTTCAAAAATCTCTTTTAGCAGCTCCTGGTCATGAGAGTCACAGCTGCTCCATGGTTTACTCTGCCATCTGTTAAAATGAAAAGAATATTAAATATTGACCTCTTGTGGCTCAGCCAAGCTTTGTGAGTTTTAAGGATTTAATATCTGAAAATCACCTCCTACAGTTACATCGGGAGCTTCTAACCCTTCTGTAGACCTCAGTCTTTTTTCTCTTCACACACTCAGGGCTAATAAAGGAGCAGCAACCAATTTGAGTGCTTTAACCAGACACACACCAGGAAGCTAGCATCAAAAACTGTAAAAGGAAGATGCAATCACACGGGGGTAGGGGACTGCTGGTGGAAACTACAGAGAAAATGATAAAGAAGCATGGGGCTGGCCAGGCACGGTGGCTCACGGCTGTAAGTCCTAGCACTTTGGGAGGCCAAGCAGGTGGGTCACAAGGTCAGGAGTTTGAGACCAGCCTGACCAACATGGTGAAACCCTGTCTCTCCTAAAAATACAAAAATTAGCTGGGTGTGGTGGCGCTCGCCTGTAATCCCAGCTACTCGGGAGGCTGAGGCAGGACAATCACCTGAACCCAGAAGGTGGAGGCTGCAGTGAGCCGAGATCAGTCAGGCCTCTGCACTCCAGCCTGGGTAACAAAATAAGACTCTGTCTCAAAAAAAAAAAGAAGCAGCAGCAGCAGCATGGGGCCAGGCATGGTGGCTTATGCCTGTAATCCCTGCACTTTGGGAGGCCATGGCAGGTGGATCACCTGAGGTCGGGAGTTTGAGACCAGTCTGGCCAACATAGTGAAATCCCGTCTCTACTAAAAATACAAAAAATTAGCCAAGTGTGGTGGTGGGAGCCTGGAATCCCAGCTACTTAGGAGGCTGAGGCAGGACAATCACTTGAACCCAGGAGGCAGAGGCTGCAGTGAGCCGAGATCATGCCATTGCACTCCCGATTGGGAGACAGAGCAAGATTCCATCTCAAAAAAAAAAAAAAAGAAAGAGAAAGAAAGAAAGAAAGAAAAGACAAATGAATGTTATCATTCATATTAAAGAAGGAAACAGTCTTCTGAAGAATCAGTTTGCTTTTATGAGTCTATGAAAGACAGCAATGTTTTTTCTACATAGCCTTGTATAAGAAAACTTGGTTAAATTTTATGTTTGAGTTTATTTCCTTACATAGATTTTTGACTAGTAGCCTCTCCCTTACAACAGCATTGAAAACTATCCAAAATAAGCTAACTGTGCTTAGTTAGCATCTGGCTTCATATTTTGGGGAGGAGTGGGCAGAAGATAATAATGAAGTATTATACTAAGAATGGAAGCAGACACTGGCCTGGGAAATGCATGCTGAAAAAAAGACTTTCTCAACCAGGATTTTCCCAGAAATCATTGCCATTTCAGGAAACAAAGCCCAGAAAGAAAATAAAATTGCTTTTTACTGAAAAACGTATAAATGTTTAACATTTTAAAAATTAACTTAAAATGTTTTTAATATAGAAGTCATCTGAAACAAACACAGAAATGGCATTTGAGTGGTAGGCACACAGCTCTTTCTCTGTACATTTTGAAATATAATTTTGTCACTTTGTTTTTATTTTTTTTAACTCCTACAGCTCACATATATTATAATTTTGAAAAAAAAAAAATCAAATTGCTCGGATTGATGATCAGCTAGCATGATCATGAGAAGTTCAGGACAGCCTGAAGGGACCCTGATTCTGTCTATAAACAGCTAATATTTTGAATCTGAAGTTAGACAAGATTAAGGCGAGAAACAAAACTGTTAATCCCACTTTTCTGTTTCTGCAGTCATTCAGGCATTTATAGAGCTCTATAGCACACCTTGTACTTTTGCAGCATACCAGGACCGCATTATACCTGGTCCTTAAGAACCCAAGAGTGATCCAAACAGACACTGTCCCTGCCTTCCCTGAGCTTCTAGTCTAGTGGAAGAAACATAAAGAAGTAATCAAACAAATGGATGAATAACTACACATAGTGATAAGTGTTTTCAGAAAATAAGAACAAAAACAAATAGTATATACAGAACACATTGGCAAGGGGAGCACTGCCCAATTTAGAAGGGATATTACAGATGGGGTCTATGAGGAAGCTCTATTTAGCTGAGAACTGACGGATAAGAAACAAGGGAAGAAGGAACACTCCAGGCTGAGATGACAGTGTGCAATGCCGTGAAGTAGGACAGGCTGTAGAATTCCCAAGCTCAGACAACATCCAGTGTCTGATGCACAACACTAAGGAGGAAGAGGGGCTCCAGAGGAGGTTCAGGAGGTAGAGAGGGGCCAGGCCAGGCAGAGTCTTGGACATACAGTGAGGAGTTGGCACTTTTACCAAAATTAAATATGGCAGCCACTAAATGTCTTAGTGCAAGGAAGTGACATGCTCTGAGTACAGCTTGAAAAAGATTGTTCTAGGCCGGGCGCAGTGGCTCATGCCTATAATCCCAACACTTTGGGAAGCTGAGGCGGGTGGATCACGAGGTCAAGAGATCAAGACCATCCTGCTCAACATGGTGAAACACCGTCTACACTAAAAACACAAAAATTAGCTGGGGACGGTGGCACGCACCCGTAGTCCCAGCTACTCGGGAGGCTGAGGCAGGAGAATTGCTTGAACCCAGGAGGTGGAAGTTGCGGTGAGCCGAGATCCTGCCATTGCACTCCAGCCTGGGAAAAAAGAGAGATAAAAATCCAAAAAAAAAAAAAAAAGAAAGAAAGAGAAAGAAAGAAAAAGATTTTTCTAGCTGCTGTGTACAGAATGGGCTTGGAGGCTGGTAAGGTTGAAGCCAGGAGATGAGTGAGAACAGGGATCAACAAACTGTAGCCTGCAAGCCAAATCTGCTATACCGCCTGTTTTTGTAAGTAAAGTCCTGTTGCAACACTGCACACTCATTTGTTTATGTCTTATCCCTGGCTACTCCCACACACCACCACCAGAGTTTAGTTGTTCCAACAGAGACTGTATGGCCTACAAAATCCAGGAAAAAAAATGTGAATTTGGCCCTTTGCAAAAAAAAAAAAAAAAAAAAGTTCAAAAAAAAAAAAAAAAAAAAAAAAAAAAAAAAAAAGAAAAGAAAAAAGCCAACTCCTAAGCTAAAAGTCTGTAGCAGTAGCCAAAGCGGTATATAATGGTAGCTAATCAGCATTTGTCCAACAACTATTGAGCACCCGCTGTATGCCAAGGAGACAACCAGATTCCCATAACTGTAAATACTATGTAAGACTAGGTCTCCATTCTGCAAAACTCTCTATCCCATAAGACCCATCTCCTTGTTGATCTTTAAAAAATTCTACTCTTTCAGTGCCTCAACCATTCTTTCCCAAAACTGCAATTTGCCTTAAGTCCTACCCTCTCCGTAAAGTTTTCCCTTACTTACACTTTACTCTGTTTTTTAACTCCAGCTGTATCTCCTATGTCAAATACTTTGGCTGTGATTATAGTGAGATATTTGTGGGTTTGCATAACAAAAACATATAGTTATCAGAACAATCTTCTCCAACTTTTCTCCTAACCTCCAGGAGACCACTCAACCCTGCCCAAAGAGAGAACCCCAGACCCAAGGTTACAGCAGTTCATTCAGAGATGGACTAGGACCCTAACAATCTTCTCCAGAGTTGAGTGATGGGAGAGTGTGTTCTACTGGAACAGATAAGAAAGACTGCCTGTAGTCACTACTGTGATGGTACTAGATGGCTATGAGTCTGGGTTGGCCGATGACTTCACCAAATGTGCTCATTTAGGCCGACACAGAATCAGTGAGCAGGGAGACAATGGAGAAGGAAGCAGGTGGGCCGGGGGTCCCAGTGGCTGCCCTGAGCCCTGCATCCCACAGTACTTCTCTTCCTTCCTCATTACAGAAGCCAGTAAATTCTTAATGTTTTGCTGATTGAGTTTCTGTCATTTACAACAGGAGGAATTCTATCGCCTGGAACAGGCTTTATCAAGTAGGCAACTATCTCTACCAAACCACCACCAAGGGAGGAACATTTGTTGTCCCCACAACTCTTAGCCTGACACCAGTGTAGGAGATCAAAATAGGTTGCCCCAAACTATGAAGGACTGTTGAGTTAATGACAACGAAGAGGAAGCAGGTGCAGGAGAGTTCTCTGCCTTCTCTGTCTATTTAAAGGTAGAACATCAATTTACAAAGAAAAACAGGTGTCCCCACCACCTGCCCCTCATACCAGGAAGAACAGAGTTAACCACTAAAGTCAAGTTTGGTTCCTTCTCAGCCTGTAGATGGTACAGAAGCATCTACATGAACAAGCTTTGCTAACCAGCCTTTATCTGCCATTTATTTGCCTTTCCACAAGGCGCTGCCCCTAAAACTCAGTTATTTTCCTTTGTCTTGGCACTTCTCTAAGAATGTGCCGCTTTTTGTTGAAGATGCTATAGAAACTAGAATTCAGAGCCACCATTTCGAGAACAACTTATTCTCTGGGTGTCTCCAATGTATATATAAAATATACATGATTAATAAACTTGTTTGTTTTTCTCTTGTTCATTGGCCTTTTATTTCAGGGGGGTCCATTACAAACCAGAAGCTGTGCGGTTTTTCTTCCCCTACCCTAGGGAAATTCAGACCACTGGCACACTGGAAACTGATGGTTGGTGGACATGTAGGTCCGTCACACTTTATCTTGTCTGTTAGGGCTTCTCCTATAACCAGCTTCTGCCTGGGAAAAGAAACCTGGAAAGGGTCTGGTACAAAACCAAGATACTCTACCCGTCAATAGCTGTGATATTGTCTTGGCCCCCACCTTGCTCTGTGATCTCAGATAAGTCCTCCTCAACTTCCCTATCTATAAAAGAAAATTTGCCTTTCTGGGCAAACTTCTATATTCTCAGATTCCTTTGTTTAGATGGCGGTCCAATTCTCCCCAGAAAAGAAACATTTTTAGCCCATGATTTTGGAATCAAGGTGACTGATTTCACACAGCATCATTTGATTTTTTTTCTGGAAAATTAATCTCTGAACCACACACAGAAACAGGAGTCTGCTATTTACATTGCACTTCTCATTCCATCCTACACTTGGGCAAGCTCCACACACCAGACAAGGACAGGTTAAGGGGAATGAGAACACTTTGTTTTTCA